GTTTTAACAGTTTAGAGAGTTATCACAAAATGGAAACGTCCTCCTCTGGTCAGCTGTGATACAAGAGAGGCAATTCCCAATTAAGACTGTGCTTAATTTAAATACAAGTACGATAAAGTAAAAAAAGAAGAGTTAAATAGCAACACTCCAAGTAAGATTAGAGTACACCTGTTAAGAGCAATTTCTGACTTGCACTGCAGAGTTTGATGCCACCTGACCCCTCACCACACACAGGAACACATCTTATCCAGTGGATTTATCACAGGTCTTTACTGGCTTTCAACTACGTGACAATCCTCACTTTCCAGAAGGTGGGAGTCTCTCCCTTTCTCTGGAGTTGCTGCTTGGCTCAATTTTTTTTGTTTGTTTTGGTTTTTGTTTGTCTTGTGTTTTGGTTTTGTTGTTGTTGTTCTTATGATTAAACAATAACATTTATCTCCATTAACTTGCTAGATACAGGTAACAAATCATGTAGTTGCATTTCCATTTTTCCCCATTTTCAATGTTTCATCAAACTGAATCAAAATTATTAGGGAAAGACATTGAACAGCAAGGCATTAGGAATGAGTTTTACTAAACAAACCACATTTAAGAGTTTAAGTCCAAAAAATGTGATAAAAAGCTTTGCAAGCACTCAGAAAACAACAGTCCTGAGGGCCTTACAAAATGAACTTGTAGGTGGGCACGTAGTTGAGAAGCCAGTTCATGGGTGCAGTTAGGCCATGGAATCTAATAGAATCAGTGGGATGCTCTGCACAACACTACACTCAAACCAGAGGATTTTATGGGGCATCCAGTGTTTCCTCTTGGACACTGATGTATGGTCACAGACACCTGTAAAGGACCAGTAAACACTCAGAGGTATCCCATGGAGAAACAAATATGGAAAGAGTTTTGAAAACTGTCAACCAGAGAAACCTAAACAGTCATTAGAAAAGACATCAAAGCTGCTGAGAAGCTTCTCTTCAAAGAAAGTTAACAAAGAAATAACAGCAATTGGAAAAAAAAAGAGAAAATAGTCATCTTGTATTAGTGAGCTCTAAAATTATTGCAGTAGAGAAGTAGAATTGTTTCTTTTGAATTGCAAGCCAATAACATGATGCAGTATTTCAATCTTCTCCCTACTTTTACCATAAGAGAGTTTTCTTCTCTAAGAAAAACTTTAAGTAACTTTACAGGTGAGGTGTCCTGAAAAGATACAAGTGTGACATTTAGCCCATTAACAGATTCATTTTACATAGAAATATATAGTTTGGAAAGGAACAGAGCTGAACTCTGACCCAGTTATAACTATAATGAAGATACATGTATTTATTCTCCATTTATTACTTTGGATGGAAGATGGTGTTTAATGGTTCCCGAAGAGAATGGATAACACACCTTTTCTTGGGATGGATGTCTCTAATCTATCCTATCCTGTTTCAGGTTGGTGTCTGACAGCAGCCTGTTTTCCTGGAATGTGGCTATCGTCCCTGACCTGCACTCAACCTTGTGCCAACCATCTGATCTCCCTCGTGCCATCACGAGGTGCTTTGAGATGGAAGTTGCAGATACAAAATCCTGCAGAGGGTTCAAACACTGTATTATCACATAACTGAGTTATCCCTTTCCAAATTTGTTTTGCTTCCATGTTTTAGCAAGGGAATGTAAATTTTTAGGGAAGACTCACAGACTCTCATAAATGCTGAGATTTTACAGTGGCATTTTTACAGTTCTCTTTCTCTGGTGCATATGAACATGCTTCATGAAATGCATGATTAGAGGGTACCAGGCCTGCTCTTCCAATATTTAGGTTGGTCACTTCACTACACATTAGTTTCCCCTCACAATTTCTCCTTCACACTGGTTCAGGAAAATGGTTAGTTCCCAAAAAGTAATCATTTTTTCCATTTCCTTTTGGTTTGGCTTTTTTTTGGAAGGGACATTTAATCTCCCTGTTTGACCAATACCAAATTTCATTTCCTTAAGATGTGTGGAGAGATGGGGCAGAAGGTGAAAGAAGAAAGTTGATGTGAGGGAATAGGCTGGAATACCTACCAGAGGAAATGCTGGGGGGCAAAGATCCACCCCCTGCCACTGGATGTGAGGCCAGGATGCTATTTAAAAATCCCGCCCTCAGGAATCTCGAAAGAGACTTCACCCCAATGGTCGGAAAGGATCCTTTCAAAGAGATAAAAATGATCATTAATCAAATGACTTGTTCTTTGGCTGACAAAAAAGTTGACTGTTGAAAGAAAGAACAATCAAATCTCTGCAGTTAACAGTGGTTTCACTGGAACAGATTTCATAAAAAGCAGTTAAAAGTCGTTGCTTTTTAACCAAGGCATACAATACACGGCTTTAACCAGAATAAGGTTGTTTTCTGCATGCTGAGAAAATGGAGAACCCCAGCACTTCAGTGAGGAGAAGAAAAATTTGGTATTTCAACAGTAAATGACACCTCTGGGATATTCATGACGCATTCCAAATGACTCCACCATGGAGGCATTTGACAGCTGTGTGCACAAATCCAAGGCAGACCAGTAGAGGTGAAGCTTCACCAGCAAAGCCCTTGTACCAGTTACACCAGTATTCTAAACCACCACTTGACAAAAGTCACGGCAAACAAGGGCAAAAGGGGAAGCAGAATCTGCAGCTGCCTCGTGTCAGGGCAGCTACATCAGCCAGAGCTTCTGTCACATCTCCCAACACCTGTCAATATATTGACACAGGCAAAAACTACCAGTACAGACAGGGCCCCTTTCTGCTTTGCTCTCACTGCAAGATTAACACATTTTATGCTTTCAATAGAATTAACTGTGAATTACCTAAATGCACAAAGTGGTTAGCATTTGATCCACTGTCCCAGCTTTGAGCACAGGTACAGTGATCAGGAGACATCATTTAACTGGCTCATGTCAGTGTTCAGTGAATGAGCGTCGAGGATGGAGCTGAAATGAGAGCTCTACATGTCAGGTAAAAGCAGAGAGTCAAGGTTTTCCCACTGGGCAATAAATTTAAATTGATTGTCAGAATAACCTGTGTATTTCTGCAAGTGTGTCTTGTAAAGCACCCATCCAGAAATTTAGGCAATGGCAAGTTTGATCTCATCATCTTGTGGGTATTTCATAGTTGTTCTTCTAAGAGACAGAAAGCATCTTGATCTTTATACACAATGAGAAAAATAAGTGGCCCTTAACAGTTGGGATTTCTTTTTTTTTTTTAATTAGTAAGAGTGAGGAAAATGTACCCTCAAATCACACATGTATTTGCTGAACTTACAGTAGCCTAAGAGAGCTTTGAATTTTTTTACTTTTGTTTTCAAGACAGAGTTCTATTGTTTCTCCTCAATACACTTTTCCTTTAAGTTTGTTAATTAGACTTGCTGAAGTCTGTGGAAAAAGAATTCATTTAATTAGTATTCTAGATGAAGTACTTTTATATCTGGTGGCTAAAGATAAGGCATGAAAGTTTTCCCTCTGGCTACTCCAAAAAAGCCTTTGGCATTCCCAAATTCCATGACTTTCCTTTTAAAATATTTGCAGAAGTGATCATGGATAGATAGTACAGAATGCAAGACACAGAAATCCAATTTTAAAATGGAAAAATGTTCCGTTAACTCCAAGAGGTTTGGTAATAACAGCATCTTAAAACATAAAGGCTAAATAAAGAACATACGAAGACTTCCCAAATAAAACAGTGTCACTCTTTCAAAACATAAATTATACCAACCATAAAGCACAGCCACTGTGAGTCACATGCCATATGCACAGACCTTCAGAAAACCCAAAGAGCTTGAGCTTCAGAATGGACATTTTCCTGTATTTCAATGCTGTTAAATTGCAAGTAACTCAAGCTTTCTATCAGTCTTACAATAAGTAATTTTGTTATAGGAAGTAATGAAGACAACCCCAAGTTTGTTTCACTTATTGTAAATATTTAGAAATAAAATCAAGGAGCAACAAATTCTAGAGCAATTAAATCTGTTAATACTAAGCAGAGGGCTAAAATTATTGAGGTTTCATAAGCAGCAAATAACGAAAAGAATACATATAAATAATGTTTTTCTCTCACAATTTTAAGTTAGGATTCAGTTGCTTAGGTGTAAATGCTTTGTGCCACTTGAGATCCTCTAGAAAATCTGAGACATTCACATTTAACGAGAATTCACATAGAATCACAGAATCAGATGGGTTGAAAGGGGCAGTGGGAGGCAGAACAGCAGATGGGTATCTAAGAGCAGGCACTTAGTGTCATATTAGGCAACTGAATCCCACCCAAACAGTCTCCTGTCACCCCAGAAATGTCTCTGATGAAGTAGAACACAGAGTTAGAAGAACAAGATCTCATTTGATCTCTCCCAGAAGTCCACAAACAGCTTGGGAAAAGGACAAGGTTGATAACATTCAGCCCTGATCAGTATCCAATACCAAAAAACTGCAGAAAAACGAGAGGTTGAAAGTTCATTCATCTTAAAACATGTCTGGTCCTACATTAAAATACATCATGTGCCCCAGAACGGACAGATGGATGCATTTAGTTTTATCACCTGGAGAATGCGGGTAGGGTTTGACACTTGACTACATGACTGGAAGTTGATTACCACTGCAGGTAAAGAAAATTAATTCTTGTTAAGCCACATCGATCACCACCAGAAGAGCAGAGACTTGATAAGAGATGTAGGCATTTAGAAGCTTAGTAGTTCAAGAGTAGTTAAAAGGGTAGTTTAAAAGCTTACTCAAATTTTTACTTGTTTGCACAAACATTCATGAAATTTTTGTAATAATCACAGAATCACAGAATGGGTAAAGGTGGAAGGAACTACCAGAGGTCACCTAGTTAACCATCTTTCTTGAGAAGTACCATTCTGTCAGTGCACATCATACAGAGATTAGTGCTTTACACCTGGTCTGTTGTTTTGTGTAAAAATTTACACTCATTTTTGCAGTGGGTGTTCTTACACTAGTGGGAAGACCTTTCAGTGTGAGGTCTTACTGGTTCCAGAGTGAGAAAAGGAGACATGAATATCAAGCCCCGCTTCCTTAGTGTCCTGACATACAGTTATTTCGTAGAATAAAATGCAAAAATACATGGCAGTACTCAGAATAGCTGACACTTCATGAAGTATACACCATTTACTGAGGCCTGTGATACCAATTTATACCTCAGTGTAAATTCTTCCGTTTCACAATAATTACAGCTAAGTGCTTGTGCTCAGAGGCAGTGGGGGAGTCCTGAATCAATTAGCCTGCCTTCCACCCTCAGCTGTTGTTCCAGGGGGAATATCGTCCCACAGATTGTGAGCATTTGATAGGGAAATCACCGGTACAGCATCCTGGACCAGCATGGTTTTACTAGCATATCATCACACTGAGCAGAAGGCAGGAGCAGAGACGACTGGGTAAAGAAAACCCATCTGCTTAGTTCAGCTCCAGAGCACATAAATTATTACATTTATTAGCACTGCACGATGGCCGCACGGCCAGCCCGGAGCAGCCGCCATCTCCCCTCACACCACGGGCACGTCCCACAGCCCTGGGCCAGGATGGAGCCGTGCTGGACAGCCCTGGATCTACCATGGAGAGACAGTTCTGCCTTGGAACGGGGGGATGGATGGAAAAAATGCCACCAAACACCTCTGGTGTCATACTGGTGGGAAATCAATGGACCAGAGCGAACGTTTGAACAGGGGGTCGGGGGGCCCTCATGAGCCGCGGCAAAAGCGTTCAAAAGCAACCAACTCACTCGTGCTTTAAAACCCTCGGGGACCGAGCAAGCAAAGAAATCTTAAACTGACCTGTTACTTTTGCTGCTGAGGAACCTTCTCACTGCTTGCCATTGAGTTTTGCTCCCATGCCGAGCCCTGGCTGTCCCAGGGCCCAGGTGCCGCCCTGTTCCCCTCACGAAATGGCGGCGCCTTCGTGCCATGGCCGCCTCTGGCCCTCAGGAGCCACCGCCATGGCACCCGCGCTGCCCAGCTGGGCTGGCACCCACGGCCAGGGCCACAGTCCCTGAGCCTTCCTGCAGCAAACCAATCCTTCTGGTTGGGCAACGATAATAAATGATTCACGAGCTTCGGCCTCGTTTTGGAGAAGCAGACCGTTATAACAGCTCTTGGTGAGAATATTCTGAAAGGCCTGTCTTTCTGTGTCAGGTCCCCTGATCTCGGCTCCAGATTTAAATTTATGGGGTCTATGTGGGAGCACGAAGAAGATAAACAGGACAAAGATAAGCAGGGCGAAGGTGCTGTTCGGGTCTCCAGAGCTGGTGGGTTTAACCTGGAGATCCCTGGGACAGACAATGCTTTCCTACAAACCTGAAGTGCTGGAGTTCTCGCAGTCCTTGACTGGCAGGTGGTGATAAACCTAGAGTTAGGAATATTTACATACAATGAAACTGTCTTAGAAACCCCCAACTATGACAAGTTTTGGCTTTACTTACGACTTCTCTGGGACGAAAAACAAATGCTGAGAGAAGCTTGCAATTCCTAAGGAGGAACTGATGTAAGTTCCAGAATATTTGGGGAGAATATTAATATCTAATTTAATTTCCCTCGCTGCTTCTATACAAACAGGAGATTTAGGGGGGGGGAAATGAGGGAATTGCTTGAAAAAGCATTGTCCAAACACTACAGCCATTTATTTTGGGATGTGTTAAATGTCAATGAACACTGAAGTCTTGGTTTGCTAAAACTGGTGTGACAACATTAATATGATTAAGGCTTTTAACAGCAATAACAACTGCTGTGTTGAATCATCTTTGTAGTCTTAATGGAATAGTAATTGAAAATATTGTGCTTCTATGGGATAAAACAACCTGGGTATGCTTAAGCTGTCTACTAAATAAGTATTTTTCTGTCAGTGCTAAACTGAAAATAGCTTTAGCACAATGCTGAACAGGAACTCTGAAATCTTCATGGATTTATAGTTTTGTATGATACCCAGAACACTGTTACAAGCACTGTGTGCTGTACATTTGGATTTCATTATCATGCATGTATTATCATATTAGCTGGGAACAAAATACTTTCAAATTACAGTTTTAATTACAGAACGTATGAAAAACAAAGCCTGCAATATTGGCCAAAATCTTTGTGATTCATTTTGTATTCACCATGATTTCAGGGAATTATTAATCCATTAATAATTAACAATGTGAATTCCATTTCAGTCATCTTCTGA